GCATGTGATTCCTCAAAAGAATATCAAAATGTGAATAGACAAAAAAAAATGCTCTTATCATTTGTTTTTATTTGCATTAAAATGGAAAACATCCACCAGGGAGACCTACTGTTCTACTAGAAAAACATTTGTTTTCCTGAGGTGTACCGTTTTGCAGACTTGTTGAGAATTACTGAAAGATATTTCAGCTACATATATCATTTAGTTGCCAGTTTCTGTACATATTGTGCAGAAAAAGAAGAGGCCGTACTGTCCATTCATATATAGGACTAGAATTCTGACGTTATGAAAGCCGGCAACACGCTACATTTTCAGCTTTCAGCTTCGACCAACAGCATTATTGTTTCAGGGTCATTTTCACAGAGCTCGAGCTAAAGATACCTGTAAGCCTGTGAATAGTTTATCATCCAGACTAAAGCCAGCCCAAACCAGGTGACTCCACGGGCAGCATCCAAACCAACTCGATCCAACAAAATTCTGCTAGAATCCAAACCAAACCAATCTGTTCTTGTTTTCCACCCAACCCAAACCAAAACCGGTTCCATTTTTGGACTGAATCCACAGATTAAAACCGTGGACAAGTCCATATATGCAGGTGCCGTGGACAAGTTCGTATATGCAGGTGCGGAGTTTCTAATTGCATCTAGGAATCTTTCTACAGGAAGCGGTGTGGGCGGAGGTAGAACCTGTAGACCGAGCTCTGGACGTCAACGAGGAGACTGAAACCCGCAGCGACGGAGACGACTCGAAACTCGAAACCAACGGTAGCGGCGGAGAGAGACTCGAGCTCCATGGCGGCGGTGACGACTCGAGCCTTGGGACGTTGGAGGCAACTAAAATCGGGCAGCTTCAAGGCTCGGAAAGCTGGAGGAGAGACGAGCGAGCTCCAGCCGGTGGCGGCGACGGCCGACGGCTCGGCTGGCGCTAACCGCATTGTCAATGACCGTCGAGGCTGAGGGCGTTGGTCTCGTACAGTTTTGGTCGAGAGACCGGTTTCCATCTACGAGTTGAAACAGTTTGAGACCGATTTGTAGATGTCCAAATTGAACCAGACTAATCCATAATATCTAAAGCCCAAACCACACCAGATTATCCAAAGAGGATTCGGTAGAGAAACCAAACTGAAACTGCGGTTCCAATCCAAACCATTCCCAGGTTTAGATACCTGGCAAAACTTAGTTAACAAACTCTACTGCATGATACATATAGGAGGTGTTTGTTTCTGCGAGAAACGTCCGTCACCTGTTTACAGGGTAAACGAAAAACGTTACAGGTGTTTGGTATCTGCACGATGTAATTGGTTGCCTCCGTAAACGATTGCAGGTCAGCTTTAGATCGATACCAGCCACACCCCTCCGTACACGATTGGTTACCGCATCTCTCCTCCCATGATCTGCTCCTCCTCGACCGGCGTCGCCGCCTTCCTGATAACCTTCGACTTCGGCGCCGGTGCCGGCGCCTTCCCGGTCCCCTTCCAGCCCCCTCTCCGTTTCTCCTCGATCCTCGTCGTCCAGCGCCACCGTCGCCTGGTAGACATCGCCGCCGCCCCAGCAACTCGCCCTCGTCGCCGGAGCGTTCGCTGCAAGGTACAAGCTCCGTCCTTCCTCCTCCTTTCCTCGGTCCTCCGTCCTCCTCCTTGTCTGCTCTCAAACCCATCCCTTGTCTGCTCTTCTTCTTTTCAGCCACCGTCCATGACGACGCCGAAGCACACATGCGTAACTCGATTCCTTTACAAGTATGAACCAAACAAAACAGAGTTTTTTTCATTACATCCCTGTTACCAGCGTGATCTAATTCCCTTACCATTTACATTACCAGTCTCTAATCCAAACACCTCCATAATTCAACCAAGTTTACCCTACTTCAGGTTTTCAACATCTTGACAAATACCAGCATCACAGAAGCTTAGAGGATTTTCGAAGCATTTCAGTGTAAGAAACAATCTTTCTGGATCAAGCATCTAAGAGCTAGTCCATATAGCTTACCAAAGTGTCGTAATCATCTTCGGGTTCGCTGCTCATTCAAGGCCACAATAACAAGACCTCTTCAACCTTTGACTGAAACAAAGGAATTGGATCAGGTCCTTTTCTACATTTTGTTCTCTCCCCTTGTCTTGTGTCGCTTGTGCTTTTGATTACACAGGCTGGTGCCTGGATGGCTGCAGTATTGTATCCTATGCAATTTGATTCTAGCGGCCTGCAAGCTAATGTTATAACTAATCACTAATTAAGTGAGCAGTTAAACCATAAGACAAACAAGCTTTCCAAATGATTACCGTTGGTTAGTCAGAGCCATGATCATCGTCTTGCTGCTCCTTCTCGGCTTCCAGCCATTCGTCACAGCCCAAACTCTATTGGTTCACCTCGGCAACGTTAGCGACTCCAGCATGATCATGGCTCTGACTAAGGCCCTTAATAAGACGAAGGCCCTTCTCCTCCGGACAGCATCATCGTCAGCCGCGCCGGGCCACTTCCTCTGCCCCATTCTTTAGGAAATCATGGAGGACCCATGCGTCGCCGCCGATGGGTACACCTACGACCGGAAGGCAATCGAGACGTGGGTGAGCATGAAGGACAAGTCGCCGATGATCAACCTGCGGCTGCCGAGCAGGAATCTCATTCCCCACCCACTCGCTCCGGTCGGCGATCATGGACTGGAGGTCCAAGAACAGATGATGATGCACACAATGTTAGACCTTGTGCAGAAGTAGAATATAGATTTTGTGTTGTGTTATGCAGCCATATTGAAAATATGAATGTGGATCCTCAAAAGAAAATCAAAATGTGAATAACAAAAAAATGCTCCTATCGTTTGTTTTTTATACATTAAAATGATAAATATCCCCCAGGGAAGCCTCCTGTTCTCCTAAAAAACATTTGTTTTCTTGAGGTGTACGGTTTTGCAGACATGTTGAGAATTATCGGATATTTCAGTTATATAAATCAGGATGTTCATATGATCACTCACCATTGGTTGCTAGCTTTTGTACATGTTGTGCAGAAAAAAGAAGAGGCCATACTGGCCATGTGGACTACAATTCTGGCGTTATGAAAGCCGGCAGCACGCTACATTTTCAACTTTCAGCTTCGACCAACAGCATTATTGTTTCAGGGTCATTTTTACAGAACTAATTAGAAACACTATTGAAAGATACCTGGCGAAACTTAGTTTACAAACTCTGTTACATGATATAATTCAGCCAAGTTTACCTACTTCAGGTTTTCAGTGTCTTGACAAATTCCAGCATCACACAAGCTTACGAGAATTTCCAAAGCGTTTCGGTATAAGAAATCTTTCTGGGTCAAGCTTCTAATAGATAGTCCATAGCCTTACCGAACTGTCGTAATCATCTTCGACTCCGCACCTCTCTCAAGGTCACATGAAGACCTCTTCTCCTTTGACTGAAACACTGAAACTGGATCAGTTAATTCTCTACATTTTGTTCTCCCCTTGTCTTGCATAATCCAACTAATTTGATTACACAAGCTAATGCCTGGACGGCTGCAGTATTGTATTCTACGCTGTTTGATTGGACGGACTGCAAGCTGATGCTATTACTTATTTAAACTCTAATGAGAAAGCAGTCAGACCATAAGCTCGGCAAGTTTTCCAAATGATACTTATAACTAGGAAGCTCCTGCAGAGGGCGAGCTGAATCACCTTTAGGTTAGACAGAGCCATGATCATCCTCTTACTACTCATTCTCAGCTTCAAGCCATTGGTCACCGCCGCCGATCCACTGGTGTGTCGCTGCGACTCCGATTTCGGCATCAAAGGTAGTACCTACCAAGCTAACATTGACCTCCTATCTGCTGCACTAGCGACGAGTGCCTCATCCGCACAAACTATCTTTGCCAAGGGCTTCGCCGGAACCAAACAAGACCGCATTTATGGCACCGCACAGTGCCACGGCGATGCCATCACATCTGCCTGCCTCAGCTGCATCACCACAGCATTCCAGGACATTAGGTGGCTGTGCATACTCCAAACGGCCACAGCTGTCTTGTATGAGGACTGCATCGTCCACATCTCCCAGGAAGACCTTATCTACGACTCCAGTGATACGCTGAAAAGGTTACTGGTCTTCACGAACACAACGAAACGCACTGTGAGTCCCAGCATTCACTTGGAGGCGACTCTTATGTACACCAGCCCCCAGATTGATGGCAATATCAAGGTGCTGCTCCAAGAGACAGCCAAACAGGTAGCCTACAACTCCACAATGATGTATGCCACCGGCCGCCTGGATGTCTTCAGCGCACTCCCGCTGCTCTACTCTCTGGCGCAGTGCAACCTGGACCTACCACCAAATGATTGCTGGGATTGCCTCTAGAATATCAGCAGCGCGGCAAAGAGTTTCTTCAAAGAGCAACATGGTGAATGGATTTCTGGTACGTGGTGCAATTTCAGGTACAGCACGTATCAGTTCTATGAGGGCCAGCCCATGCAGCAGATCGACTGGTCGGATGATGTGGATCCAACAACAAACAAGCCGGAACCCATGCCAGCGCCAGGGCCTGTTGGTGTTCCCAGGCAGAAAGACGAGGATAAGCCGGTGGTTGTCGTGCCCAGACAGAAACACAAGAGTAAGCAAGACAATATGTTAATTTTTTTCCCAAAATTAGGCGGTCTTACCTTTTTGTTGTTCTAATCTGTTCTATTTCTATTCATATTATTCCTATCAACATCTTTATTACACTAAAATTGAACAGTTCAGCATCCTTATAGTGCCAAGTGGTCTTTTGAATGGTGCCTATCAGACTCAAGCATCGAGTGAAATGAAATTATGGAACTTATACAGCTATTGCTGAAATAAAATAGAACAATTTGGATTCTACAACTGTTGCTGAAATAAAATAGAAGGTCCAGTTGATGAGTAGGGCGTACCTATATTCGTCAGTAAATTGTCACCTTGGTAGGCTGAGTAAGAAATAAAAATAAGAAGAGAAACTTAAATAAATTGCATAATACCCCCCCCCTCCTATTTTTTTCTGAATTAGATGTATATAGACACGTTTCAGTGTGTTTGTTCACTCATTGCAGCCTGTGTGTTTGGGCACATAAAAGGTTAGTTACAGAAATGCTACTGCTGTACTCACAAATCTCTTAGGCTGTGGATCTAAGAAAAATCTCTTGGGCTGTTTAGATTCATATATATTCTGCATCAGAATTTCCTGAAAGGGTTACACAATCTCTGAATTTTGCATTTACGTAAAGTGAGCCCACAGGAAGGTGAAGAACTAGTCTGGGGAACTGGGAGGAGTTCAGAGTTCAAGCTTTTTGACTTCACACAAGTATCAGATGCTACAAGTAACTTCTCAGATGAAAATAAATTGGGGCAAGGTGGCTTTGGCCCAGTATACAAGGTAAATGAACATATTTATGTAGGTACACAAAGAGAACAATTTGTACGATCTCGTAGATTTCATACATGCTCTTTAAGTTTACTCACAAGCATGGGGGTCCGAAGATAAGTACAGAAACTTTTATTTCGCAAGATGATATCACTAATTAAGCTCTTTTAAACCTCCACAGGGCCAGCTTCCGAAAGGTTTGGAGATAGCAATTAAGAGACTTGCTTCAAACTCTGGCCAAGGTTTCACTGAGTTCAAAAATGAAGTCCAACTCATAGCCAAGCTCCAGCACACAAATTTGGCTAGGCTGTTGGGATGTTGCTCGCAAGGAGAGGAGAAAATATTGATCTATGAATATTTGCCAAATAAAAGCTTGGACTCCTTTATCTTTGGTAATTGGTATTACTTCTTGTAGTTTGCAGTTACAGATTATGGTTCCCACCTCCCCCTCTAATATGCATATATTGTTAACTCATGTGCAGATGAAACTAAAAGGGTTTTATTAAAATGGAATAAAAGAAAACTGATTATCGAAGGGATAGCACAAGGACTTCTATATTTGCATAAACACTCTCGGTTACGTGTCATACATAGGGATCTTAAAGCAAGCAACATTCTTTTGGACAGTGAAATGAATCCTAAAATATCAGATTTTGGGCTTGCAAAAATATTCAGCTCAAATGATACTGAAGGAAACACAAAAAGGATTGCTGGGACATAGTAAGCTCTTCCTTAAGTCTATGCTACTAAAAGTTAACCAAATACCAGATAGAAGTATAATTTTCTCTGTATCTTCACAGTGGGTATATGGCTCCCGAGTACGCTTCAGAGGGTCTCTTCTCGATCAAGTCTGATGTATTCAGCTTTGGTGTGTTAATTCTTGAGATCATCCATGGAAAAAGGAACTCATGTTTCCATCAATTTGGGGACTTCTTCAACCTTCTTGGATATGTAAGTATTTTCTATATCCAATATGTAAAATTATTTTTGCTCATCTATGTTCTCTGTGTAATGTGTGTGTAAACTCTTTCTAGGCATGGAAGTTGTGGAAAGAGGAAAGATGGCTTGAGTTTGTCGATGAATCAATAGTTTCAGAGTCACATGCATCAGAGATAATGAGGTGTATCAACATCGCATTGCTGTGTGTGCAAGAGAATGCAGCTGACAGACCCACCACGATAAGCGTGGTTACAATGCTAAGCAGTGAAAGTATGACCCTGCCCGAACCTAAGCATCCGGCGTATTTTCACATAAGGGTAACGGAGGAAGAGCCACCTAGTGCTAATGATGTGACAATGTCTGCTCTACAGGGCAGATAGTATCATCCTGCATATGTGTTTTTGTAATGTCACTTTGCTGAGGGGGCTCCTTCTGTTGTAACACTAAATTTCTGACAGAAACACACGCATATCTTTGGTTAAGCGTGTCATGAATTGTGAAGTGTAGTAAAGTCTACTCATGTTCAAACAGCAAAAGATGGTTAATTAGTGTGCATAGTGTGATGCTGAACCATACGCGGACGCCTCGGTTGCTAATTAGTCGTCAGCTTCGTATCCCTGAACGATGAAATGTGAAGCACAGTAGTCTTCCCGTTTACTCTTTTGTGTAGAAATGGTAATGGTTAGCTACAAACAAAAGGGGTTCAGATTATTCATGTAACCACAGAAAGAGTTTGTACTGAAAGCATAAGCATAAGCATCCGCAGTGCGGTTGTAGGATCAAAGGGCTATTCGTACTGGATCTTTATTGTACAGGTATTTGTGCTGAACCTTTTTTTTGACAGGTATTTGTACTGAATCGATTCAACGGAGTAGTCCCAACAATAAGAGGTGCCCGGAGCTAACCTCGCTTGATGGGTCGATTCGAGTAAGCGGAATCGCGGACGGGCACCTTCGGAGGAGGGGGCGGGGAAGACGCGAGGCGAGATGCCTCGCCGCCGCCTCGATCTCGGCACCGCGTCGGCCTCCCAGGGCCGTCGCCGACCGCCACCAGATCCATAGCGGGGCAGCCGCCGGAGGTGGCGGCGGCAGCGCAACGTTGGTCGCAGCGCTCGCACCCGCTGGGGCGTACCGGGACGAGCGAGCGAGAGAGAGAGAGAGCGCCCTCTGGGCTGGGAATGGGATGGGCGGCGGACGGGCGGGTGCCGCGCGCCGGACTGCCTATAAAAAACCAAAGTCTGAATTGCACTTGACCCCAGGTTGACTACCTCGAACCAGATTGGCTCGGGCGATGTGAGTCTTGTCGCCGAACAAAACTTCAGTTTGTACAGCAAGTGCATTTTTCCTTGAGCTTTTAGCCTTGATCTTTTTTGAGCTTAAACACCCTCCTATAAAACCCTAAATCCCAGAAGATCGGCCCTAATGGCCTTCTAGAAGGTGGCCAAACTTGGCGACCAAGTTTCTGGACAGAAACTTGTCAGCTCAGTAGAGTCAAGTCTGGTCGGCTTGGACATGAGCCATCAACTCCCCTAGACTAAACACTGCACGGTCGAGCGCGTAGACAAGGTTTGGCCGCTCCTGGGGTCATTTTGACCATGCCAGCCTGGTGACCGTGCGTGGACATGGCGCCTGGCATGCGTCTCAACGCGCTCTGGCTGGCGCCTTGCGCTTTGTTTCAGGCGTGCTCGTTCCAGCGCTCGCCGCCGACTGCCGCACCGCGCCACCAGCCCCGACCCATCACCATTGACCGCGCCCTGGCGCTCGCCGACGCCGGAGCTGCCACAACATGCACGGGCGTGTCGCGGCCAAAAGCCCACAGTGCGCGTGTGCACTTGTCCGCTTCCCCAACCGCCTCCTGTGCTCGTTCGCGAGCGTGGGCAAGCTTCTGCGTTGACGCTGAGCGTTTGCCCCCTCTCGTTGGAGCTTCTCGTCGCCATTCGCCGCGTGTCCAGAGAGCTCCGGCAGCGACACGCCCCCCCTCGCTGCGGCTATATATAGCACTCCCCTCCTCGAATCCTAGCCAAGCACCACTCCACACCACCTCCATGAACAGGTAGACGAGCAGAAGCTCGGTCGGGCAGGCCTCTGGTCATCGCCACGACCAGAGGACTCCGGCGATCCCCGCAGTCCAGCCGCCGTGCTCCGGTGCCTCTCGAGCTCAAGCAGCCGCTTGGGCGGGGCATTGGGGATCTGCTGGTGCTGCCTGGATACCGCTGGGCCCTCGGAGCCGCCTCTAGCCGTCGTCTTCAACCTCTCCGGCGAAACCCGTCCGCCACCGTAGCTTGCGAGCTCAACTGTGAGCAGCTCCGTCCACCTCTCGAGCCACGGGTACGGGTAGGTGCGCCTCGAGCCCCGCTTCAATCCTATCCCTCTAACCTAGCCCCAAACCCTCTCATCGCCGGCGTGAGCTCCGGCGAAGCCCCGCCTCTCTCTGATCTCTCCCCCCCCTCTCTCTCCTGACGCACGGGACCCACCTGTCGGTCTCACCACTCGCGCCTGAAGCGGTATGAGTGGAGGCGTATTTCTATTATACGCTTTCGACGTCACCCCCCAGGATTTCTGTTTAATTCAAAATTTATTCAGAATTTTGACTGAATTTTGACCAGCCACCATTTCTAAACCATAAGTCCAAATGATTTGATTCTTTTTGCATTGTCTTTGTTTCAGAAAACTCAGTAGCACACTAGAAGGTGGATTTTTCCTTGCTGTCTAGAATTCCTGGTGATTTTTAGAATGTGTTTTGATAATCCTTTTTTTGGTCTAAATTCTTTTTCAGAAGGAGAAGCTTGTCTTGAAGCAAACCAAGAGGGGTGTGATCCACCTCTACACTAAGGCAAGCCACACCAACATTTGGATGGTGTTATTTCAATATCTATGATTTTCTACTTGAATATGAGTTATTATTTGCATTTAAAATTTGATAAATAACTTCGGTTAATTTCTATTTACTTTACCATGCTTGATATGCTTGTTTTAGTTACTAGTTGAATGCATGAGCTTGTTTGGCTAAGTAGAGTAATATTTGGCACTATGCTTATAGCTTTGGAAATTAATAATATTTATTTTACTAGTGATAGTTTCATTTCAAAAAAGAACTAATAAAAATATTGCTTGGTTATAAAAATGAGTTATAACCAGAGGAGTTTTGGTTCTAAGTATTGCAAGATGCTTAAATTGTTAAGTTTGATCCATGAGTATGAGTCGTTTGCTTTGCATGACGAGTAGTTGCATGCTTCTTTTTGGGTATATCATGATGATGATAAAAAGTTTTTATCAAAGCTAAACTTGATTAAGTTCAACTTGAATATGATGTTGATCACATCATGGTGCCACTGAATCGGGTTTCATTTAGTGCGACCACATTTACCTTATGGGAAGGTCTTGATTCGGTCCTTTGTTGTGGCTCTCATCGGCGCCTCCCGCGAGGGAAGGTTATTGGCGTGCATACCCTGGCCCGGTAGGCAGACATAACCTTGTGTGCTCGTTTTTGTTTTTATGGTACCTTGTCCCCGTTTGGGACCGTTTTTCCATGACGGTGGCCGTTGGTGTCTTCGGTAGACACGGGGCCACCCAAGACCTAGCCCTGAGGGGGAGTTGGTCGGAGTGGCCGGGTTGAGTGCATGACAAAGGGAGGGTTTTGTCGGAATGCTTTGGTCCACCCGAATGGGAATGTGAGGCCAGGTGTTACGTAGTGTGGGTAAAGTGCGCTACCTCTGCAGAGGGTAATTAATCTATCGATAGACGCGTCCTTGGTTATGGGCATAACTTGGAAGTAAGTCACACCATGGATCAACTTTTCTAATAAATCTTGCAAACTAAGTGAGTGTTGTGATGCATTGGTTCGTGGTGAAGCATGAACACGTGAGGTGTTCATGAGTGAATGGTTTCAGGTGTGACCCAGGTATGGTCACCGTTTGGTTACGAGGTAACCGTCTGGTAAGCGAGTCCATGGGACTCATTGCACGAACCGTTTGTTTTCCTTCGGTGGTAGCTTTGCATTGTATTAATTTGATTAAACATCATGATATTGTTTGTCATCGTGCATATGTTTATTGTGAGCTTGCAAGTACATTCAATGTACTGACCTGGCGTGTTATGCCAGATTTCAGGCAAGTCAGTTTGAATCGGAGCGCATCTCGTGTCTAGGCCATGTTCACGCCGGTGTCCCTGTGCTATGGAGTTCCACTTTGGTGTTCTTCCGCTGCCGCGTAGCTCGTGTGATCGAGGCCCCGTCATGTTCATTAAATAATGTACATACTGTCGAGCAGCACCGTGTGTGTCGCTTGGTCTCAAATCTCGATGTAATATCAGACCTATGTAATCCGCTAGCATCAATAAAGCGGTTGTTTCTGTACCATGTTGTTGTGTGTTGCTAGAAGACTGGATCTCTGGGCTGGCAATGCAAGGTAAATCGGTTGCTCTGAGCCGGGGTGCCACAACACTTGGTATCAGAGCCGCGCTGATTGTAGGACATGCTAGACCGTTAATGCGTTAGTGTAACGGTAGATAGCTTTGTTTGAGTGCCGATTGTTGCATTGCATGCATGTTTATTTGTTATTACTAACCGAATGGTTTGTTAGTGTAGATGGCACCAGTACCAATCTTGTACCATCCTGAGCCAGCTCCGTATACATCACCGCATCTGCTTCAGAACGTGTGGCGACGGCTCTACCCAGAGGGTGCTGATCCAGAGTATCGGGTGTATCGCGAGCATCTGGCCGGTGCATTGTATGAGTATTATGCTGAGGTCACTCTACACCACAGTTCACCTACCCGCGCTTACACTCGTTCGACTAAGGGTGGTCTTTCTTCTACGCCATCCTAGGCGGTTCAGTTTGCTGCTCTCGAGGCTCTTGTAGACTTGCACTACAACGAGGTCCGCATGCATACCCACACTGGTCTCTTCTTCTACCCATCTCTGCACGAGAATGGGCGTATCCGTTTTCCTTTGATTAATCCGGCGTGTGACCGTCCCACTAGCCACCTTTCTCGCTACATCACAACTAGTTATCTCCTCAACTATGAGTTAGCTTGGGAGCTTTCACGTACTCGCACCACTCTCGCAGTTGCTCGTATGAGGAACCCTCTTCCCGCTTTCATCTATACTTCTGCTCCGGTTTCTTCCACCTCCGTTCCCCCGACAACCTCGCAGGGAACCGTTGATCCTCTAACGGTGAACCCTCGCAGCACTCCTGCTGCATGGTATTCCCTTGTCGCTACTCCTGCTGCTCCTATGCTCAGATCCCATCCTCCGCCTGCCCTTGAGGGAGAGCCCTCAAGGCAGCATCGTCGCGTCCCTCTTGACCCAGAGTTCTCTGCTATCAGTTCAGGATCAGGATCCGGCTCAGGAGACAAGCCTGCAACAGCAATGATCAAGCAGT